CCAGGGGCGCTGGGCTCGGGGCGCCCCGGTGCGCGCCTGTCTCGGGCTCTGCTGTCTTCCCTGCGGCCGCGTCTTCTCGTGGATTCCAAGAGTCTCTGCGCCCGTTCGGAGCGGGTGTCTGTGTGCTTCTGTTTTCTGTTCTGTTTCTGTTGCGTTTCCCCTGACTTCCTTACGGTGTTTTTCCGCTTGTTCTGGTCAGGTCTTTGGAAGAGTAAAGGCCGGGGAGCCTCCCGCCGCCTGTTGGGGTATTTGTCCTCACAGCCTTATCTGCCTGCCAACCAGAGGGTCTATCGTTGTTTTTCTTTTTAAGACTGACGCATACAAGTAGGGTGTAGGCCAGGGGTGCGGTGAGAGGACCCCCAGAGACGAGCGGGGCCCTCTGCCCGCTCCTGCCCACTTCCCAGCTTGTCACACTCAGCGATGCCGAGTCCCTCCAGGGCCACTGGACATTCAAGCACTGCTCCTCTGGCCGGTGCCGGGCCGCCAGGCTGCAGCCTCACGCCAGCAGCTGACTCAGCCAGTCCCAGCCGGAGCCGGGCTGCGGGGTCGGGGCTGAGGGTTCCCGTTTCCTGGGTTCTCCCTGAATGCTAAGTGGGTGGGATTCTAGAATTTTCTGAGAATTTAGATAATAGCTCCTTTGCCCACAGTTTCTGCCCAGAGGGAGCAGCCTCTCCGTCCCCGAGGCCAGGGTCTTTGCCTTGCAGCCCCCAGAGGCCCCTGCTCCTGGGTCCGGGTTGCTGGACGTCCCGGTGGGGCGGACAGCTGCCCCCTAGAGTGCAGGGACCTGTTTGGCTCCCGGAGGTGCAGCCGCGTGTGGTCCCCAGAGCAGCGCTCTTGGCCGAGTGAGGCGACCCACTGGGGTGGGCACCGCCGTGGCGGCCCTGGCTCCCACTGGCTGTGCCCCGCGGACCGCTGGCCCAGGGCCCCGAGAGCCCGGCTTCTGCCACGGCCGGGCTGGGCTCCCGCGCCTCCGCAGTAGCCCGGAGGGTGGCGCACTGTCCGCCCCCGTTCCAGGACGCCACGGCGCGGCCGGCTGCCAGGCCCCTCGGGCCCCGGCTCAC